TGTGGCCTGACCAGTGCCGCATAGAGGGGGAGTATCACCTCCTTGGACCTGCTTGAGATGCATCTGTGGATGCATGACAAAGTGCGGCTGGCCTTCCTGACTGCATCCCCACACTGCCGGCCCACGTTCATCTTGGCATCAATGATGACTCCAAGATGCTTTTCTGCCTCTGCACTTACGAGAAGGGAGTTCCCCAGCCTGTAGGTGCTGGTTCTTCCTCCACAGGTGCATCACCTTGCACTTGTCAGTGTTGAATCCCATCCTATTCTCCTCCGCCCACCCCTGTAACCTGTCTAGGTCCAATTGTAGCCTATTCCTTCCTTCTACTGTGCCCACATCCCCCCACATCTTAGCGTCATGAGCAAGTTGGAGCTTTGCCAATTCATACCAGCTAAAAACCTGAACAAATTCCTAGGCACAGTAGTCAAAATCAAGGCAAAAAAACCTCTGCATTTCGCATAATAGAAGAAGTAATTACAGCAAGGAATAAAATATCCAAAACCCCAAAATACAAAATTGGAAACTGAGATTTCAAGCTGAAATACAATGGGAATAGTTGTTTAGAAACACTATTTCAAAATTGAACATTTTTGTTTTGATATTTTCAGAATACTTTGTGAAAAAATCAAGTCTCTTGACCAAAACCTCTAAAAACAGTCTTTCCTCATCTATTTTACCCAACACCCACTGAAGTCAAGGGTAAACTTCCCAGTTTCTTTGGTTGGCATTGGACAGCCTCAGCCTCAGTATATAGCCCCTATCCACCTTGAAGATAAATAGTAAAAGCTTCAATGAATCAATCCCACTTTATTTAAAACTTTAACTGTTACAGATGAAATCTGAAATATACAATTCACCCAAACATGCTTGAGAAAATCTTTTTGTCAGCACTGCCACACATATTCAAGACACTTTTGAAGTAATGACAAAAAATTAACAGAAGTCCTACATCATCAGCATTTAAAGTTCAAGATAAAAGAATCCAAAGGACACTGGAATACACAGGATCAAACTAATACAGAGTTATAATATCACATAACAAATCTGTACGCAGTACAAAATGTAATTAGAAGCTGATGTACATTAATCAGCTTAAGAACGTGTTATTTCAATGATATCTTAGGTAACCAAATGCCTATACAACAGTCCATTTGTTAGCTCCTAAAACAAGTCTTCTAATTAGAAGTTTCACTGCACAGACCATAAGTTCTGCACTGGTCAAAGACACAATGAAGTAGAGTTTACAGATGCTGCCAAGAAAATTAAAAGAGTACAAGTTAAATACTAATGTCACTTCTAAATGACATAACTATGCCTATAAAAGATAATTATCAGGTTTATGATGCCATACACAGAGGTAATGTGGACTACTGACAAAATAAAAGGTCATATTCTCACTTGAGCTAAGTCAGTATACCTCCATTAACTTCAAAGGAGCTATGACAATTTATATCAGCTGAGAATTTGGCCAAGAGAGTCACTGCAAATTCACTGGCCCAAAAGAGACATGATTCCACAGCAAAGCAGCTCATGCACCAGGCTCAAGAATCCAGCAGTGAAGAATGATAAATGGGGTAGACTTCTTCTTCCTGGCAGTGTAAAGACATGAAGCCCAAAATACCTTAGGGTCAAAAGCATTAAACAAATTAAAAATTAGGAAGACTCTAAACAGAATGTTTTCCTTCAAAAAGTGAAAACCATTGGCATTTGTTTCCAGAATCCAAGATATGCCACTGGAGTAAGTAGCATAATATGGGCTAAAGCAGGAGCGGGCAAAGTCTGGCCCACAGACCGGATCCAGCCGGCAGTGGACTCCATTTCCCAGCAGCCCCTGCCTGCATGGCTGGAGCCTGTCTCCAGCCTTGCCCTTGTGATAGCACAAGACTGGGGTTGCCATGGAGACCAGCCCCAGCTGCACTGGCAGGATGCATGGCAGGGTGGGTGTTGGGACTCAGAGGCTTCTGGGCCCAGTTCAATTGTACCAACACTTGGCAAGAGACTGACATATCTGGTTTCTGCACTCTTATTCTTAGCTGCAACCATACTGCCTCCGGAACCCATTATATCTGTTAGGGTTCAATAAACTTGCTTTTAGTTTAGGACAACCGTGTCTTAGTCTCCTTTACTGGTATGAGACCGTTATAGTGTCAGAGGGACAAAACAAGTGCAGAAGGAACCTGCAACATACCTATAGGCTGGGGAACACCCTTCTCAACAACACAGTGGCTGAAAGAGATCTTGGAGTCATTGTTGACTCCAGGATGGACATGAGCCACCAATGCAAGGAAGCAGTCAGTAAGGCTAACCACACCTTGTCATGCATCTACAGATCCATCACAAGCAGGTCCAGGGAAGTGATCCTTCCCCTCTATGTGGCGCTGGTCAGGCCACAGTTGGAGTACTGCATCCACTTCTGGGCACCACACTTCAAGAAGGATGTGGCTAACCTTGAGGGGTTCCAGAGGAGGGCCACTCACACGGTCAGAGAGCAGCAGGCCAGGCCCTACAAAGATAGACTAAAGAGCCTGAATCTATTCAGCCTCCACAAGAGAAGACTGAGAGGGGATCTGGTGGCTGTCTATAAACTCACCAGGGGGGACCAGCGGAAAATAGGTAAGACTCTGTTCCCCCAGGCACCACCTGGGTTAACAAGGATTAACAGACACAAATTGACTGAAAGTAGGTTCAGTCTTGATATTGGAGGTGTTACTTTATGGTTAAGGCTGCCAGGCTCTGGAATGGGCTACCAAGGGAAGTGGTGCTCTCCTCTACCTTGGGGGTCTTCAAGAGGAGGTTGGATAGATATGTGGCTGGGATATTATGATACCAGCACTCATTCCTGCCCAGGGCAACCCTAGAAACTATGAAACTATGAAACACAAGGCAAGCAGCTGCTTTGGAGCCCTGGGATCTTGCAGATGGGAAAGCTTGGTCTGGGGCCAGGGTAGAGCTGCGATCTGTAGCCTGAATGCTCAGGACAGGGGTGCATAGGCAGCAGATCATGGTTCTGCCCCAGCTCAGAACCAGACTATCACAGCTGCAAGGAGTCAGGGCAGAGCTGTGATCTGTAGCTTGCATGCTGCAGACAGGGGCACACAGGCAGCATATATCCACCCTGCCTTCTGCATTTTCCCTAAAGCAGTACCAAAGTAGAACAAGCTGGAAAATCTGGTAATTCATAATTGGTTGTTCTTTTTGAAAATAAATGTCAGTTTCTTAATTAATTCTTATTGCTCAGCTACCTCAGAGGTGAACCTACATGAAGGAAGCATCTACACGAGATGTGTTAATGCGCCTTAGCTCAATTTACTATGCAGTAAGGGTGCATATCTACACATGCATGCCCTTACTGCACAGTAAAAATAGATAATTGCAACAACATTTCATACCTCCAAATGCAGGTATAAAATTTAGTTGCGATTAGTTAATGCACAGTAATGCACGTGTAGATGTAACCCAGCACTAAATTTAGTGCTAGGTCTGCCCTGCCAGTAGGGGCCTGGCCTGAGCCTACCCCCAGGGCTCCTGGCTTGGACCCTCTCCTGGGCCAGACCTGGGCTGCTCTCTGACAGCCCCTAGCTGCAGGCTATAAAAATCTGCAACTATTTTGTGCCTTGGGGCACACTGCACAGAAGCCTGGTGCCTCCTGTGCAATATGCAGGAACACTGCAGGCCTCATGCGCCCCCTTGGCCTGAGTACAGGCTGCCTCTGCCTGGCCTGTCCCCTTTCCAGAGATGCTGCTCAGCCACAGGTGAGTGTTGCAAATGGCTGCAGCTTGTTGCAGCCTTTTCCCAGCCCTGCCCCTGCCCTGTCCCCAGTCCTGGCCTCTACTCCTGGGCCCAGCCCCTGCGCCCACTCCCTGCCTGACCCACCTGCACTCCCCTGGCACCAGGCTGCCCCCCTACAGATCCCAGAGAGGCAGGACACAGTTCAGAACTGTATTCAGCAACCCAGGTTCCCACAGCTGAGGGGTCATGGGCCTCTCACACCCCGAGGAAGGTGTCAATGCTGAAGGTGATGTCCTTCTCAGCAGTGGGGGACAGAGACATGTAGCACCATGACAGGTAGCCCTCCAGGCAGCAATGGAGGTTGTGGGGCAGCCTGGGCTTGCCCCTCCCTCACTGTCATGACTCAGGATCCCAAGCCAGGAGCATAGATGTGCTCCTTTCCCTGGTTGTCTGGGAGCTCCGCACACCCCAAACCTGGGTGCTGTGGGCTGGGTGGCAGCACAGCAGAATGGCTGGCCTGCATGGGGGGGAGTGGGGTCTGGAGCCATGGTAGCAGGTGCTGCCAGAAGCCTGGCCTGTCCCACCCTGAGAAAGGGACAAGGGAGGCAGGCTACCTGAAGCCAGCACCCAG